CCCCCAAAGATAATACAGTTCAAAGTGACATATAAGTCAGCCCCTAAACATTGAGATTTCCATTCGCAGACTAATGATCAAAAAGACAAAATGAGACCAAAAAAACACAATGAAAAGAACTGGACAGAATAAACAGCGGCAGAAATCAATGTAGTAATTAATATAATATTTGCTTGATCAAAAAGGATATAAAACAAAAGGGTGATCTAACAAGTATTTCTATAACATCGATGTAAAAAATACTCTACAAGAAGCCCATCTAAACAACAAAACCCCTAAAAAACCACAATTAAACAAAAAAAACCCTCCCAAACAAATGAAACAAAGAAGAATCGAACCTGTCCTCTCCGTCTAGAGCCAGGTTAAACACGTTGATGGCCGATGTGGGCCCGTCATCAAACACATCGCTGGAGTCGTCTGTGGGGTCAGGTGGGAGGTCAACACACGGGGTACACAACAGCTCCTGGCTACTCTCTGGGCGGGAGAGAACAAAAACACATTGTCAGATTTCTCCTCCACACATCAAGGGAATACATCCATGGCAAACTGGGCAAATGAACTAAGCCGCACAAAATTTTTTTTGCAGAAGAGAGAAAAAAAACCCTGTAGTATCTGCATCATGGGTTGGTTAAAAGAAAATTTTTTTTCAACAATCAGAATTTGAATTTCGCCAAAATATTTTGTAAGCTCATGCAAACGATACCACAGATTAAGACACCATCATACTAAATTAGTTAAAAATTGGGCGTTGTACATTTAAACACAAGGCCAACAATGTGGATTTTGAAATTGTTTATGAATAATATATTTTGAGAAATTTGACGTCAAAGATTTTGAGTTTTACAACATGTCACTTTTTTCGAATGCAGTTCTTTGAATTCCTTGATAGCGACCATGAATTATCTTAGGATTTTGATTGAGCAACAAGAACAATTAGTTTCTGACCTCATGGTTTTAGTAGCTCAAAACAGCCAAGCAGGTCAATAGAACTTTGTAATTCTGAGGCATCGTCATGTAAACAATGAATTCTGACATGTCATGTGTAATGAACAGATCCAGTGACATTGCCACATACTCACCTAGAAATGTCAGAGATGAAGTAAACCTCCAGGGTATTTCCTCTAAAGGTTCTTCCTTCTCCTCCTCCTCCTCCTCTTGCGCCCATCCATTCAGATCGCCAATGTAGCCTGAGAGAGATATACATGAACATGTAACGGAAACTAGTAACAGTGAAATGGAACATAGAAACAGAAATGTAACAAAAATGATAACAAAGAAATGAAACACAGTACTACAAATGGTCGCTTTTAAGAACAAGCGTGCTAACCCAGATTTCGGGGGTTTCCAGAACTCTTGACCTACACCAAAAGTGGGCATTTCCCTATCTATAGGAGAAGTTTGGTTTCATCCCCCTCAATCCCCCCTCCTGTCATCCCCTCCCCCGTTCCCCACTCACCCTGTAGTGTGTTCAGCATGGGCATTGAGCGCGCGATCCGAACCGGCGTGCGGCCGGCGTAGGTGGCTATGAGCGGGTCGGCCCCGTGCACCAACAGCAGGCGCACTACCTCCAGGTGGTTGTTCTCTATGGCGTCGTGGATCGGTCTGTGGGAGCGGAAATGTCAGACAACAATATAGTCACATATTATTGTAATATGTACACGAGTTTACAAACACACACACGCATGCGCACACAAACAAGCACACACACACACACACACGCACGCACACATACATGTATACACACGCACACACGTATACACACGCACACACGCATACACAAACGCACGCACACATGCACACATGCACAAACACACATACATACGCACACACATGCATACACACACTTACACACACATTATCCATCCATTAATCCATGCATCCATCCATAGATCTATAACTTAATTACTTTATTCAAACTTTACTTAAAAATTCTATTGAATTAACACAAAATCAAACTCAAAATTCTATTTTTTTTTTTTTATTGTACACAAAATTCTACTCAAACTTCACTCAAAACTTTATTCAAACTATGCCCAGAGAGGGTTTACAGTTGTGTTACTGTAAAACTCTCTGCTTTGCCAAGACTCTCTGACTCTTCTCAACACCAGCAGCAGCTGGCTGTTCGTTCCCGCCTCACCTGATCCCGTCCTGGGAGCAACAGTTGACGTCTGCTCCGTAGTAGATGAGGTGTCTGGCCACGGCCACGCTGCCCCGCACACAGCTCTCGTGCAGGGGCGTGTAACCGGCGTTGTCACGGGCGTTGACAGGGACGCTCTGTGTGCGCAGACAGTACAGGCTGATCTCCTGGTGAGTACACATAGCAGGACATATATATATATATATATACGTGAGTACATCGTGGGTGGGGCGGAAGGAAGGAAGGAAGGAAGGAAGGAAGGAAGGAAGGAAGGAGGGAAGGAAGGGAGGAGGGA